TTTTTTTTTGAGGGGGAAGTGCGGGTAAAATGAAAATCAATGTAATTTGTAGGTAGTAAAGAGGGAAAGAGTGAGAAGAGATGAGGTTGAGGAGGTGGCCAGGGGACAACCAGGTAAACCAGGGTAGGTGAGATACAGATTTTATTCTGATTGCAGTTAGGGTAAGGCAACAGAAAAACTTAACTGAGGGGGAAATAATTTATCTTTTAAATATGGGATTTGCTTCATGTTCTGAGAAGATCCTTCTGACTACTTGGAGAATGGATGGTGATCATTAACAGTGGCAGCACAGAGATGAGTTAGGCTGTGGTTTGTTGTGGTCCAGGAGAGAGTTGACAGTCCCCTGGCTTAGGTCTAGAGCCATAAAGATGGTGAAGAATTCCAGCAAACTTGCAGTACTTCTGACCAAGAGGCCTTTGGTGATTCAGATTTCCATAAACTGGAAAGGGCACTATGCTCCATGCATTTGAGCTGAATGCAGAAATGCAAAAACACAAACAAGACCTCAAATGGAAGCCAGTTGAGTTGGCAGGTATGTTTCAGGTTAGCATTAAAAACGGACTCAACCGAAATATTACATAAAGAAACTTCTGGAGTCCCCAAATGCACTGTTAAGATTGCTCTCCTGACAAGAGCAGATAGATTTTGTTTGAGAATGTGGAAGAAAGATAAGTTTTTTTTTTTTACAGCTTGGATTGTGTGTCAAATGCCAAGCCTGCCTTAGGGGAATTCACAGTCTCCCTGGGAAGACAAGACTAGAAATAAACGGAATGATTTTAAATACAAGTCAGTGCAGGTTTTTGAAAAGTCCTGGGCTGCATGGTTTAGAAAGCAGTACCTGCAAAAAGAGGGGTGAAGAAAGAGGGATTAAGGGGAAAGAGGCTTTTGGGAGACTAAGCCTTGAATGATGGTGGTGAGGGAAGTTTGGCTCTAAAGCAAGAAAGAGTATTGTTTTAGGTGAGACCGGTCTGACCAGCTGAAGGGTGGGGAACAGAGTAGTATAGATGGGAAAGGGGTCCTCTCTTGTAAATCATAAACACTAGTGGAAGCTGAGGGCACCCTTAACCTCACGTGCCACGGAAACAGAGAGTTGCACAGATTTCCTCAGGAAAACATTGAAAGCAAAAACTGTGAGTGCACCCAACCCTTTCCTCTATGCCCAGCCCAAGCTCTCTCACGTCCCCAAAAGGAAAAGAGCAGTAGGTCAAGCTCATTTGTTTATTCATTCATTTAGCAAACATTTCTCACTCCGAAGGGGCCTTTGTTTCCAGTATTGGGACAGTCTCCTGCCCATAGGCCACGCTGGCCAAGGGGGCTTTGGCTGCCTGGCTATTGTAACAGGGAAGTGTCTTTGTATAACTGTGAGGAAGAAACGACAGGCAGGCAAAGAGAGCTTGCCAACTGGGGGTGGAGTGGTGGAATGAGTGAAATGTGCCTTTAGAGAGCAAACTGAGGATTCCTACACTTTCTCCGAAGAACCGCCCCCCACAGCATGGAGGCCCATTCTGGGGGCCTCCTTTTCAGGGGTCTGGCCAGCGTCTCCCCATTTAGAATGTTCCCTGTCCATCCAGGAAAGATATCCCGAATCGGAATTACCATGTACCCTAAGCAGCCTGGTTTGAAGAATGAAAGCAGGTCTAGGTGGAGAATCAAGGACAAAAACAGAAGCGGAGAGGATGGGCTATTGAAGCGTCTCGAGTTGGCAGGAAAAAAAACCCACTGTAAATCACAAAATATAATAGGTAGGAAAGTGTTGGGTGGGCGGGATACGTCTCCCAAAAGCCATGGGAGGAAAGCCAAGCCCGCAGCTAACTCCGATCGAAAGGAACGTGGAGAAGGCCCCGTCAGCGCAGTTGTGGGGTACCAGTCGGGACTGAACTGAATAGGCCGAGGGGGATAATCGAGGGTCTTTCCCGGATCACCCGGAGGCTAGAGGGGCTGGGGTCTGCAGCGGGGGCGCCCGCGGACTCCGCAGCGGCA